ATATAGGTATTATAGAATTAAACCCGTAATACTATAATTCCATCTAATAAAGTAGTTAAGTATACGTAAGCTTATCTTTATTATCTTAACGACGTCTCGCCACCGTCTCCTTACGCTTAATTATTATCTATCTTATCTACTTATCTTAAAGCCTCGTATTCCGCTTCTTATAATCTAACTTAGCCTCCTTACGTCGTAATCTCTTTATTTTAAGGCGCTTAAGTATAGAAGTAGTACTTCCGTTAACGGCGGTTAACGAGATACTAGTTCTACTACTAGTTTAAGACTTCCTTAGGCACGGTCGAGCGATAATCTTATAGAATAAGTCTATTAATAGCTTATCCTTAGTTACGCCTTAAATACTATTAATAATATTATTAGCCTATAGCTCTAAGATAGTCTTATCCACCTTATAGTAGAGTATTCTATTAGGTAATATAATCTTATAGTACTAACCTTAGTAGTTTATATATATCGCCTTACTATACTAGAGCTTACTCTAAATATTATTAATAATAACTCCTTAGTTACGGCCTCGCTATCTTCGCTTCTCCTATAATTTAAATAGCTATTTTAAGCGTCCCTTAAGATTCGGATCTATAGGCGATAATACTAGACTAGTAGAAACTATACTAATAAGTAGTAATAGCGTAGGAGACTTCGGATTAGATACTATAGCCTTCTTACGTTCTAGTAGCTAATAAGACTTATAGATAATAGTATCCTTAAAGGTAAGAAATATAGCCTCTAGTAGATCCTTTCTTACTAGACTATAGATCTTATTAAGGAAGGTAAGAAGCTTATTCTAGTTATCTAGACTCTAGTCTAGAAGTATTAACTATTTCCTAGCACGACTAGATATTCCGAGCTTTATAGTAAAGCCTTAAGTCTTAAATAGCTAGTTATTAGTACCGAGAGCCTTATTAATTAACTACTAAATCTCCTTCTTATATAACTCCTTCTTAAACTTATACCGGGCTTCTATCTTTAGCGATATAGCCTTAATAATCTTTCTAAAACTATCTACTCTAAGTTACTAATTTATATAGATAGACTATATTATCTTATTAAGAGCCGCGTTATTATTCTATAGGTCCTTCTTCTCCTCCTCCTTAACTATATCTCTATGAACTAAAGTAGAGTTATTAGTATTATTAGATATATCGCCTAGTAAGGCTAGAGGATCGCTCGATAAGAGTACGTTAGAGGGCGCTAGCGGTATATTTTTACGCCTTACTACTATCTTCGTAGCCCTTAATACCTTATCTATACTATACTAGAGCGCCTTTAATATAGATATACGTAGCCGTAGCCTAGGAGGTAGTAGTAGAGGTTCTATTGAGTTATTCTATCCGAATTAAATACCTTTACGCTACTTAGGAGGTATAATAGATAGCGTAAAATAGTTAAAAAAATACTAATATATAGCTAATATCATATAATACTAATATATAATAGATATTTTAATAGGTATATAAGTATTTGTCGACGATGCCGTAAAATATTAATTATATATAAAAACGCGTGTTGGTGGCATAGACGTGCATCGGGCGCCAAGCTTTCCCATGTAACTATGGACAAACGGATCAAAAGTTGGAGAAGGCCATCGTTCATATGCGGAGAAGCCCGAGTGGCAATTGTCTAATTGTCAGAATGAATAAACAATCCTCCATGCCATTTTGCGTCGTCCGACAGGCATAAGCATGGCGAGGACTAATGGAGTTAACCAGGTCCACGTCCATGATCCTATGCTCGTTGTTGTCGATCGAGGGCAGCATGTACAGATGCCCAATTGCCGTAACCCTGGTCCTGGTTTCGTAGCCGCTATTAATTACATGAACAGGTTGTAGTTCAGTCACGAACTCGAGACACATCGTTCCCACTATCGTGGATCAGACTTCCATCGAAGGGTCATGGTATCGTAGTATTTTGCAATATTGACACAGCGGCGTAGCGGAGGTGTCTCTTGAGTCTTGACAGACTGGGCATGTCCCAGATGGACTTGGCATACGAATTGTCGTATTATGCAATACAGACGTTCGTAGAGGCACGATGTATATAACTGTGGGGCCCAGAGTTACAATCAGAATGCGAGCGCGAGCAGTGCCCCACTGCCGCGACACCCTTAACCTAGACGGGCATACGGAGATGGTGTGGAACTCTGCATAGAGGGTAGTGCTGGCGTGGACCGCGTGGTTTTTTTTACGCCGCGAGAATTCCCTCTTTCGTTCCAGCGCATTCGTGGGTTTTCATACTCGGCCGGGTTTGGGGACTAGTGCGCTTTTGCGATCACACATAATCGGACCCAAGCGATGCCGATGCCCTGTCGTTTTTGGCGTAGTCTTCGGGCCGTTTCACGGACATATCGCCCGATATAGTGTAGCTGTCTAAGAGGTTTCTGTATGCCGGGTCGTTTTATAAAGAGCTTGGTGATTGGTTGAAAGTAACACTGTTGTTGCTAGAAAGGACAGAGCATGGCAACAGGCTACGTATTAGTCTCAATGCAAGCGTTTTCAGCGTCCGCGGGGAGCAGCGGGAGAGGCGCTAGATGTCGATGGGGAACATGATGTGGGTCAATATCTTTGCTTGACCGGCTGCTCGAGCCTGGCGAACGCACAAGGGGTAATATGTAAGGCGGAAACAATGGTCGGTAGCACGGATATCGCATGATTAGGGATATCGGTGTATTGGATTCGTTTCGGAAGACAGAGACTATAATGTAGACAGTGGTACTGCGTCAATTGGTACAAACGTAGTTTGGTGGAGGGAACGATCGTTTGAAGTCGTTCTGCATTTCACTCAGAAGGAGGTTGGTCTCGGTTTTTGTTGTAGTCTTTGCGTAGCGCGACCCCAAAGGCTGAACCTGTATCTGAGACACATATGTACAGTACGGAGAACGAACTCATGCCACTAAAGCGTATGTAACGAGGTAGGCGTAAACAAGCATTGGACTAGCTGCAGTAGTCTGCACGAAATGCAACTCTCATGGGGAGGCTAACTTCATAGTGGGTACTGTATCGTGAGTCCGCTTCTTGGCTGTTAATATTGCTAATGTTGGTCGCTTGACCATGTAACCATATTGTTGTGCTCGAGCGTCTGCAGGGCGCACATCGTTCATAAACACTATCACTTGAATATATCTCTCATCGCTCGAACAATCGCTCTTGACCTGAGTTCTGAAGGTTGAAGCTTCATTTGTGACATCCTCGTGGAGTGATTTGGGGCAACACACGAGGAATATTGTGTGGCCTGGCGGTGGCCGTAAGGACAAAGATGTGTGGCTCCTAGTAGTTGCCTGATTGGGCATAGTGATAGTAAGAACTAGAAGGGCTTGTGGTACTCTGGTTCATCATGATTGTTCGAATGATGGCGATGATTGTACTGTGCCACAGTCAGTATGTCTGGGACCGGTGTTGCGGCGGAGGCATTCCTCGCTTGCGCTTCGATTTGCGTGTGACGGGCTTCGCGGACGAATGTTGGGCCCCTGAACAACCGTTGACATGATTAACCTATGTATTGTCCGGCTTGGCATATACAGTTAGACACCGGCCTTGGGTACATGCTGGTATCACTGGTATGTATGTGCCTAATATGTATGCTATGCTTCGAGGCTCAGACAGAATACTTTGCCACGTGCCTTGCAGATCAGAACCGTGGGCTGATGTTCCTATCGGAGTTCTACGACGGCTTCGCGTGAGTCGAAGGATCAGCCTCCGCTGCTACACATTTGACTGCTGTTGAGAGAGGCATGGTATGCTACTTAAGAATGAACAGACTTTTGCTAGCAATAGGATGAACGATTGATAACTTGAGTGTACCAAGACCTAAGACTAAGCGGCGTGAGTAAGCAGTATACCTGGTCTGACTGTGGACCCATTATCCTTTTAGCCCCGCGCCTGCGCTTGCGCTCAGGGGAACGTGGAGTATGTGCCAGTGACTCGGGTTCTGTGATCGACACGAATGGCGAGCGGGCGCAGTCTTACTTTTTGATGCGACACTCGTGTTTGTAAACGTAAAAAGGACGAGTAAGATTTGGTGCTTCTTTGGGCAAATTGAAGATAGAACCGCGACTTTTGCCATTGGTGTGCTGTCCCGGTTTTTTAATGCTTTGGGAACGCTGTAGCACATGCATAGATATCTTATCTCTCCGCTGCCTACATCCAATTCGTGTTCCGAGTCAAAACGGATGTGTCCGCGTCATTGTCGCGAGATGCCGCTTCCCGTCGTGGCTGAAACATCACTTCTTGGTGTGGTTTTGCATGTGTGATTATAGTCATCTTGACCCAGTCCATCTTAGCCACACGAGTTTTTGGTTGTCCTAGCCCAGTTCCTGTCGCTTGAGAATCTCTCGACAGTGCGAAAGACAGCGTATATCAAGACCATCAGGTCTCTTACGCATTAAGTAATGTCTCTCGTTGACCAAGTCACGACAGAGTGACATTTTGACCATGGATTGTGACTATATTCAATGCTCAACGAACCCAAGACATTCGACTGTACTTCCATCAGTCGGCGTAGTCATTATGTTGTGCCAGAGTTCAGCTAGGCCAATGTTGCGTCATGCTTGTGAAGTTGGCAAACCTTAAATGGAATGCGATGACGTCCACACAGCAGTAACCTTTACACTTATGTACAGGACCATCCAGCCGGTTCTTTCGATACAGATAGATTGTTATCAGCGAGTTGCCATGTCGAAATTATGCACTCCTGGTCGGCATCTCATCGTCGAATCGGTCGATCGCGCGTGGAGTGATAGTGCGCCCTCTCAAATCAAGCTAAGCTGCAAGATTGACGCTGTCCCTCCTTCGAACGTGAATTCCCGGAGACAAGGTTTGAAAAATGCCGAGCCTTGCACCCATCAGATCCCATGTCAGCCCGTATTTCGAGGGCGAAACTTACATTGAGTAGCAATACATTGCTGTATTGAGTCCATTGTCCATTGGGAACTGAACTGCACCGTATGCTGTATGGTGATCCAAGGCGGGGTTACGACGCTGTAACTCAAGGCCCCAAGAATATCCCAGCATGTGCGTCAAGACGGTGTTCGTACATTCCGTGGGGTAACGATGATCGATCTTCTTCGAATGCAGCGTATGTTCAGCGCGGAAATGGTGATATCTGAAATTTTCCAGGATAGTGGGTTGTTGCCGGCACTCCTTCTTCCTCTATTTTCTGTGGATTGCTTGTGTCGTTGTACCAGCCACCGCTATACGACCCATCGTGCATATGAGCGACTGATGGCGGCATATGGCCACCGGTGTAGGACCACTGTGGTTGGGTAAAAGAAGCCATAGTCACTGGTGCTGTCATTGGTCCAGACATAGATGCGGGTATTGAGGCAGCCAGATCCGTATTCAGAGGAGTAGGATAGTATTGTTGTGGCCTGTCGCCATAGCCCGACTGACTTAGAAGCTGCTGTGGGAATGATTGCTGGACAGTATCGCCAACTGACATCGACCTTTGTGTAGAATTCCAGTGCTGTGGATCCTGGTGACCGTATGCAAGATGCACGTTCGATGAAGGTTGAGTATGACCGCCAGCTATATGTTGTTCAGCTACATTAGATTTTGCAGTCTGGCATTGACAAGAATTGTTCTTGTCAACCGACCTATTCATGCGGGCGACTTACTTGGCAAGAATGTGCCCGGAAAACCCTGGAGGTTCCATTGGCCGTTCGCGTCAGGATATGGGAATGTCTGATGTGGTAAACTTGGAAAAGGTGCTGTTCGCAATCAGTTTCATAATACAACAAACTAGGCCGTGACAATTACTTGTGGGATTGCGTGAGGGCTCCATATTAGTCAGCTGATCAGGCCCAACTCGGAAGCCAGCAGAGGACGGAGTTGACAAAGAGTTATAATGGTGATACTCTTCAGACGCTTCAACGTTGGGCGGTATATGTTGAGGTGACGATGGATCGGATGCCGAAGGTAGGCTCGAGCTCACATCGGACTTCGCGCTCTGAGTCTGTTGACTTGATTCCTGCTCCACAGGGAAGAAGTTACACTCTTTTTTCAATCGAATACAATTCGAACATCGTCCCTGTGGATCATCAGGTGCAAGGAGGCACCGTATTTTCCTTCGACGACAGTGCCCTAGAATCGTTAAGAAGCCATTCAACTTAATAATGTGTAAGATGAATGGAGAGACCTACCGCATGCGACTGACGTACGATGGTATCCCAACTTATTGCGTCTCTTATCTGCAGTGGGAGACAGCGCATCTGTCTCGCCGCTATTTGCAGCACGCATGTGGGGTGTCGATGAAGACCTTCTCACCTCCAATGGTACTTTAGCTTTAGGGAACTTTTTCTTCTTCTTTTTAGTAGAGTTTTGTGACTTCGTTGCTGAAGCAGTTGGTAATGCGGATTGAGTCAGTTCCGGTGATCGTACGTATGAGTGAGGTTTCCCAGTGAAAGATGAAGCCCCCAGAGTTTCCTTCGGCATTCTGGTGTGTGCAGACTGGAATCCGGGCACGAGAGCGGAACCAAGAAATGGCTGCTGCACGGCCGTGGCCATGTACTTGGTAATCCTTCTGAAGACTTCAGAGAATGTGTCCAGGAAGGAATTGTGATGTTCTGTGCAAAGGAAAGAATCCAAGGCGTTTCAGAAGGTTGTAGTAAGCGTGTCCGGTAATAGTTTACGCTAAGCACAGAATGATGGAATCGAGTCGACCGCCGCAATTGCTCCCCAAACGTCTGCCTGCCCAGCACTGGTTGGGGCAACGTCGTCTGCTCGGAAGTTCCTGATGTGTGTAGTTGGCGATCAACGGACCACGGATATTGACTGCTTTTTGGTCGCAGACAACAGAACCATAGTACCGTAGCAGAATCAGCAATATGCAAGGCTACGTGTGAATTTCGTCCGCTGTGGCAACCCTGATACTTGGTTTTGACGAGTTCGCACTGGGAATCCTGGACTTGCGATTTGGCGACAGCGCAACTTTGGATGTTGAGCTACGACAGCCGCAGCGCAAGGCGGTTGTATTGAATATGTGGAATCAAATATCCTGAAACGTGATAACCCACGCAATGACTGAAGTCTGCAAAAGTGATATAAGTGGCAATCGGATTATGCTTTGCGTTGCCCTCGAGTAGATATCCAACAAATTGGCACTAGGCATGGATCGCTGATCTTGGTCAAGCCAGGCAGGAGGCCCAGCACATCCATGTCAGTCTTCTGGCGCACCGCGCTAAAAATTGACTTCGTTATGAATGGATGTGGGTTCTGGGTAGACCCTCAGGCGTTCCACACGAACACCGACCCCATCTTTTAGTGGAACCTTCAATACGGCATAACTATTCCGTACGGCTCAATTTCCTCGTTGCAAAGCCACATTTGGGTGCTTGGTCATCCTTCGGGGTCCAATTGGATCAAGTTTGCGACGAACTGAGGAACCAGAATCCTCTTCGCAGTAATTCATGACCGCTGTTTAATCGTTGAGCAGGACGAATGTATCGTATATGAAATGTAACACTTCGTAAAGCTATCTGAGTATCTGAAAATAGAGCTTTGCGCGTACAGCTGTCTGCTGTCATATATGAAGTTGCTAGTTTTTTTCCCCAGTAGGTGGTCTTAGATAGCGTAGGATACCCATTGACAGATCGGTCGAGTTCAATAGCGGTCTTTGCTGGGACATCGGTATGTGCTTTAGTATTGTATCGGATATCTTACCCCATTGATCCACTTGTAAGGCGATCGCACGAGGGTCAATCGGTACCTACATCTTGGTCTAGCCGAAACCTGTCGACCAAAATGCCCTAAGTGCCAGTTCGTGTGCACCGGCCGAGCACTCCAACTGCGTGTCCACACCACACGTGCACATGTGTCCCCAGCTATATCAGCTTTTGGACACCAAAGCAATCGCAGCAAAGGTCCGGATGTCGACAGCGCTTTCGGTTGAGTTGTCGAAATGTAATACATAAGGCAGAAGCCGAGGTGCTCCATTTTCGCCGATGAGAGTCGTGTTCATAGTGTACTGACGACTTCAGGACGCTTGGTGTGTTCAGAGATCTTGACATTGTGAATGGATGTGGAACTTGCTCCGAAGTGCTCGGATTGGTCTTCTTTTGCGTGGAGTGAGTCTGACATTACAGTGTCATCAATGTACAGAAGGAGAAAGGGCCCCCATCAGGGAATCAGTCATCTCGTACAAGGAAGACGAGGAGGCTAATTGTGCATGATCCTAAAGCGACGAACACTAATCTCGAAGGAGTCCAGGTTGTTGGTTTGTTGGTTGATGGATGGAAGAAAAAGCTATCAGCTTGGCTGTGGTTTCTGGTGGGGCAGTAGAGCACGTGACTACCATATTTCTTCTGGCGACACAATTCCAAAGCAGCACATTCATTTCAAATCATCACTTGTGACATTATCATCGAGTTGAGACTATGTGACGTTCAACTTATTCAGATTTGATCTCTTATCTTTTCGAAACAGGAGAGACAGCAACCCCACATTCGCGCTTCGCATTCACTCCCCATTGGCATACCTACCTTTTACCCGGCTTCTAACGTTCGGATACATCCAGCAAGTGGTCGTTCTGCGTCATTTAAAACTTGGGATTCTAGACGAAGTAGTCCATGCGAGCTAAACAGTCAATGCTCTACTTGTCATATGCGATGTCACTCACTTCAGATCGACGAGGGTCCTATCGCGTACGCTCAGAAACATCGTCGTATTCCGGAGAGCTTCCCCAGAGGCTCCTCCTCGGAACAGGGCCGATGTTGTAATTCTTGTTGCATTTCCCGATCAAGTAAAGGATCACAGTGCTGCCGGTCGACATACAAGGACGAAACAATACTGATACTGTTATCAGATGCAACGGTATCTCGACTGATGATATTCTCTTCTCGTACAGCGTGGTATAACCCTCCTCGAATTATTACCAAGATGAAAGATACAAAGTAAGCCGAGCATTCCCGATGCTCGATTCGGGTTTTATTTTGTCCGTGTGACTACGTTCTTCGCTGTTATTGTGTCTTCCAATGTCTTTGAAGCATCCTGGTTGGCAGTCTCGGTGTGATCCCGCACTAAGATGTCCCGCAGCTACATCCACAGAAGCCACTTTGTTACCCTGCCGTTCAAGGATCATGGAGCGTACATACCGATCAGAATCGCTGTCAGCTAGACTTAGGATATTGAGCAGCAGGTGATGATATTGCGCGTGAAATGACTCAAACGTGACGGCGGACCGAAGTGCTAGCTAGCCATGGATGTTCGGGCAGCTCGTATGTTCAGACTTGGCTCTCTGAATACTGAGTTCCTGGGACACGTTTTCTGGAAGCTCGTGTGATGGAAATTGGTTGACGATGTCAACACCAGGGATCCAGAAAGAGGATGGTGCTTAGTGAGGGAGATAATATTCTTGCGACAGCTCATCAGCAACAGTACAAGATCTCGGTGGGTAGATATGTCAGATGATGCAACGAGACTGAGGCCGGACAACTCGACAACGGTCACTCTCGCTATACGCCTTAATCAACAATACACCCACTAGCATGCCCCGCGTCGGATCTCCTTGGATGCATATAACATTTAGGCAGTAAAGGACTGGTAGCGACCCTTGATCTTGTACATCAATAAGTGTCTTTTCAATATTAATAGCGCTGGAGTCATTCTAAGTTGCGTCCGTTCGACCCGGCATCCTCCCTGAGTTATGACGTAGACCGTCATGGAGTAGTATTACACGCTGCCATCCCTTGATATGCTCATACAACAGAAGTAGTGCTTATATACGAGGACCTCTTTTTGCAAGTCAGCAACGGCAAGCAGATGACGTTCAAACATATCGATGACGCGTAAGGTACGTATGTCAAGCGATCTCTCCAAATATCCCAGCATGCGTTTTGAGGACGGTCACCAGGTCGTGTAAAGGGGGGCTAGGAGAGAATGCGAGCTATGGATTGGTAGGAGTTCGGCTCCTTGACCTAAGACTTTCTAGGATCTTTCCATGGTTTTCCTGGCGGATGACAGAACAACAGGATAGGGATTTAGCAGCTAGCTAATTGGCATCCCAATATCATGGCATTCTGCTGTCAACGTGGCTGCTACCCACAGAACCATGGTTACACAGACACACACCTACACCTCAGGCAGGGTTCGGCGCTAGTAGTGGGGGTGGTGGGGTAATTATCGACGCGCCTGCCTTGCTTGACTCCAGGCTGTGCTCAGAATGACGTCCACGCTAGTGAATTGCTCCTGTTGTGTGAGTGTGAGGTGAGGTCGTATACAAAAGGACTTCGACCGTCTGGGAATTTCTACTTCTCTTCATCCCACTCTCTAAATCATCAACCTCACAGAACTTCAATCCAAACCAACCAACTTCAAATCAATCATCATGACTGACGCATTGTAAGTTGTGCACTCTTTGTTTACCATTACACCCTGCCGATCATCAGCCTAACATCTCATTAGCCGCAAAGACGCAACTACACAGGCCAAGGAGAAGGTCAAGCCTGACTCTGAGAAGTCTATGCTCGAGAAAGGTACCGAAGCCGTCACTGGAGGTGCAGACAACGCAGCAGGCAAGGCTCAGCCCAGTACGTTCACACTCATCTCAAGGTACATGATCATGGCTAATCATCTTGTTTAGGTGGAGAGAAGGGCATCGGCCAGAAGCTCACTGACTCCACCAAGGGTAGTGGTGAGAGTGGAGAAGGTCTCCTTGACCAGGCTAAGAACGCTCTCGGCGGTGGAAAGTAGGCGTTGACATCAGCATGAAATCTCACTTTCGACCTTCGATATCGAATATTGAACTCGGCTTTGCGATCTCTGGCATGATGGCGTTTTCTCTGCATGGATGAATTGAAGGATCAACAATACCCACATAGCATGAATTAAATCACGATTCAGCAACATTATATCTAATCATCCATTTGAAGTGAGCGTACGTGATTATGACTGGCCAATTTAGTGGTTGGAATATGAATTAATGCTATCAATCGTACACCTCCCAGTCATGATCCACGACGACACGCACCACGATGGATATGATTCTTTACACTACACGCTCAAGCAATCCGACCTGATCAATGGTGATTTTTAACCATGATCGAATACTCAAAAGTTGTATAACAGCGGAGTTTCTATCAACGCAGGAATACCAAAGTCTACGGTGTTTTTGAAGCATAGGTAACCAAGTCAGCTATCGACTGTTCATAATAATTATACCTGAAGTCTTGTTTAGAACACTCGCATGGCTAATTGTAACCGTTTATTAAGTCTCCTCTGCGCACAAGATGAACAGTGGTGAAATAGTAATCATATACGCTGAGCTTGTCCCGACATCACGACGTACTTCTGCTTCGAATCACTCTTATAGCGTGTTTTTATTGTGATACTAACCAATATGCTTATGGATTTCTCGGGTATACTTGACCTAGTCCTTTTCCTTATACACATAGTCCATCGACTCCATTCAAGTGTCTTCCTCACCGCTCTTCGCAGCCGCTTTCTTGGCAGCCTTCTTCTTTTTCATCTTCCGCTTTGCAGCCTGCTTGCGCGAGGCTTTCTTGGGCTGCTCTATTTGAGGTTTCACTTCGACTGTGCCTTTGTCAGCTATTGCAAGAGAGTTCATTCTGGTAGACTGTGTTTTCGATACGTGTCCTTTCAGATTTGAGCTGTCCCTCACAGAGTGGGTGACTGAAGATTGTTTGTCGGACTCTTCAGGCTTTGGAAATGCTTCCGCCTCTTCGAGACCCCAATGTGCCTGCTTACCTGGCTCGGCGTCTTCGGCCTCATCAAGCTCTTGGCGATGCAATGCCTTGTACTCCTCAGTTCTCTTCTCCTGCTCTTTTTTCGGCATCACGATCCAGTTGTCTGGCCACAGCTCCTTCCACTTTTTGGTACCCTTGCTCCATGCCATCTCGACGTTGCCGTTCATGAGGACGTATGCGTATTTGTTAGTGAGCTGGTCGTCGTCTCTGAACACTGCCTGGATGGGGAACCATTTCTCCTTCTCGGGATTGTGGGACTTTATGAGATAGGTGAAGAGTGGGATGTTAGATGCAATTTTAGCGTTGTGAGGCTCAACGTAGACAATTCGCTCGGTGCGTTGATCTCGCGGGTGGTACTTGTTCGGTTGAATGTTTACACGCTGGATCATACCCTTGTCCTCGAGTCTGTGGGTTGAGAAAAGTGCGGAAGGGTATTCGAGAAAAGCACGCTTCAGGATCGGCTGTGAGACAGGGGGCTTGAGCATGGCGAACTTGGACATCTGCACGAACGACGAGAGGTGAAAGTCTACGAAGTGGAGTCAGCGCAGCACTGTTTCCTTGAGTCGGCGACACACATTGTCCTTTGCCTTCGATTTCACGTTCAAGAGGGCTGAGCCATGTTGAGTTTGCGGGATCCTGCAATGCGTAGTCGCTCAGGCACACCTCGAATCCGCTGACAATGCTCTGGAGATATTCTGGCGTGATCTCAGCCACGGTGATATTGGAGCCTCCGGTACGAACACGTTTCGCAGGGCCTTGATCTGCTTCAATCGTGGGCAGATCCGATGTAGCTTGGGCTTCAGAAAGCTCCTTCGGGAGGACCTCGACTTGATTGGGACCCGACTCGGGGAAAGCTTCATCAGGCTTTTTGACTGGCTTCTCCTCTTTTATTGGCCTTTTTCCTTGCTTCTTGAGGTTTGCGAGCACCGAAGTGGGAATCAACATGATGTCTGGTTGTGTTGTTGGTTGATGTGAACGAGTTGACGCGCCAGGGTGCAGATCATAGCGCCGGGGTCCACAGTAGCGCGAGCGAAACTTATGCAGCTAAATTAGATCTGGGGACCTCTATGCTGAAATATACCACAACGCGTAATATCAGAACTGGCTAAAACATGTTTGACTTCTAAGCAGTAATTAGCACGCCAAGTGAGTGCGCGTTGGTATCTTGCTATGCACCCGGTCTATCAATTCATCTCCAGACACCAACGTCCGTTTGTAGCGCACCATGGCAAAGGACAAACTATCCGCAAACCCCGTACAAGCCCAGCGCAAAGCCGACAAAGCCAAGGCTCTTAAAAAAGGCAAAGCACAGCTGCAGACGCAACGTAATGAGAAGCTTGCGCGGCGAAATCCAGAACGTCTACAGCGTCAAATCGATGATTTAAGACAAGCTGAGGCTACAGGGAGCCTACGGCCAAAAGATAGAGAGACACTGTCGCAACTCGAAAAGGATCTCAGAGCTGTAAATAAGGCTAGAGAAGTTCTCGGCGACAAGGCACCTCATTTCCGGCGGCATGATAGCGATGATAGAGGCGAAAGGGGACGTGGAAGAGGCGGACGAGGCGGTGCTGTGCTGGGAAAGAGGAGGAGAGACGGCAGTAGGGGCAGCGAGAGCAGCGAGACGGACGAAGATGTCAGAGATATACCCATGCCACGAGATACGCCCCCTCCCGTCCCTAGACCGAATCGCAACAGACACGCGACTGGTGCGAACCAGATCGAAGTTGAGTCAGGTATTCGGGAGCCACATGCATTACCTGCTAAACCCCAGATCGAGGCGAAGACTACATACTCTGCTGCCCCAGTTGTGCGAGATTTGAGAAAGGAAGCTGTTAGCAAATTCATACCATCATCAGTCAGGAATAAGCCAAAAGTGAAAACTGCGACTAAAGATACCGTGGAAGGAGACCCTGAACCGGTTGTGGAGGTAGCAGCAGAAGGAGTTGGGCATAGAGCGATGATAGCGGAACAAAATGCGATACCCCATGGAACAGAAAGGGACCCAAATGTAGGGGTAGTAGATTTACAGGCGGAGGAAGAACGGTTTGTGAGAGAAATGAGACAGGTGGAAATGGAAGAGGTGCTGGATGAGGAACTCTGACGATGCTTTTATGCAACATGATAAGCAAAGGACGGTATGATTGAGTATAACAAAATTTATCAAAGGCTCTTAATCACTAGGCTATTCAATAACTTCAGATAAGTGCTTGGCCCTCAGTCCATTGCATATGATACGCGTAGACTTGATGAACAATGACGTCACCAACGGTCCCCATTAGAACTTCGATTGGGGAACATTTATACTCTGAATACAGTGGAGCTTTATTTGACAATCATATAGGGTTATAGGTCCTCTGGCTTAGCACACTGAGATTGAATACATCTTCGCAGAATTTGCGCATGATCGAATTCGGACATCGCGTCGTGAGCTAGGTAACGATCTTACCCCACAAAGACTTTGAGCTTTTACATCCATGGATGTAACGTATACTCCACTACATCACGACCCGTCGCGCGCGCAATAAACGCGTTTGTATATTGAACAGAGCAGCATAACCTGACCAGTGCTTGAATTCTCATCGCGATGGAACTGTCTTCGTGGGCTGCTCCCCAGCTGTCCAAGCTATTACCTCTAGATGAAGAGTCACTGAAGCAAATAATCGCGTACACTGACACGCTGTCCAAAGATCAAGCCGCAGAACACCTAAAGAACTTACTAGGTGACTCTCCACAAGCTCTAGACTTTATCTCGTCCTTCAATCAGCGACGGAAAGCCTCTCCATCCGGAAGCTCCTCCCAAGCGCCATCCAGAGAATCTCTGTCGGAAGTACCTAAAGCGAAACCTAGGAAGAAGAAGGCGAACAATTTCAACACATTACCAGCACCCCGGCGGCCCGATGATTTTGGAAATACTACAGGAGCATATGTAAAGAAGAATGAGGAGGACTACATGAGTGGGAGGCCAAAGCAGAAGAAGGAACCGCCCATATCAAATACGTTGGCTCTGCAGGACAAGCCTGATGCGATCCAAGATTCGAGGCCGCAACAAATTGCGCCGTCAGCGAAAGCACCTTCAAAACTTCCTCCCTCTGCCGCTGGACCTCTCATTTCGGATGTCAAGTCGTCTAGAACGTCTTCTCCAGCACCCAAAGCGAAGGCTAAAGTCAATATATCTGGCGGAACTGCCATGCATGGACAGTCGAAACAACTGGATGACCTTGATCATGTTATAAGAGCACTGGAGATTCAGACTAACCCTTCGCTGGCGCCGTCTGCGGAGAACAATGCGCGCCGGCGCTGTAACTGTATGGCCACGAGACATCCCCTTCTTGAAGCCGCCCCCAATTGTCTGAACTGCGGAAAGATTATATGTGTCAAGGAGGGCTTGGGACCATGCACATTCTGTGAAAAGCCACTCCTTTCTGCGAGTGAAATTTCCTCCATGGTCCGCACACTGCGCGAGGAGCGTGGAAAGGAGCGGATGGAGGCGAACAATGCTGCTTATAAGCGTGCAGAGGTCGCCAAAGCTCCAAAACCATTCGCATCACTTTCTACACCGGGAACATCTACGCCTGCGTCATCGGATTCGGAAAGTGAGAAACTCGCTGCTGCTAAGAAACATCGTGATAAATTACTCAACTTTCAGGCCCAGAACGCTCGACGTACACATATTCGAGACGAAGCAGCAGACTTTGAGACACCAGATGCGGGAGTAAACATGTGGGCTACCCCCCAGGAACGAGCTCTACAACTAAAGCGGCAGCAAAAGATCTTGCGAGAGCAAGAATGGAATGCCAGACCAGAGTATGAGAAACGCAAAGTGGTTGCCTCTATTGACCTCAAAGGAGGGAAGATTGTCCGAAAAATGGCTGCCGCTGAACGACCAACAACACCACCGAGTAATGACGAAGATGATTATCTGGAGACCTTACCGGCTTCCACATCAAACAGCCATGCATCTGGGGCCTTTAGCAGAAACCCTCTACTAGGTAAAATGATACGTCCTGTTACTAAGATTGAAGACAAGGGCAAATCAAGACAACGAGAAAGAGAACCATTGTGGAGGAGAGTTCAGGATGATGATGACGACAACGAGCAATGGATTCTTGATGGGGGAGTAATGGGTGGAAGAGATGCTACATCACAACACGACGAGCCGGACTGTGGCTGAGGTCTTCCAAGCCGAGACGTAGCAATGCCTTACAGCACTATGCACCAACTTGCTTCATTGGTCTTTCAGGTGAAGTTTTGCTGTCTAAGTTCATCATTTCACACCTTGACTCCACGACCCCGCTCGACCCCGGACCAATGTCTACCGAACCTCTTATTTCTTCCGTATTAATTCGTGTCAACGTCGTCTCTCGACGCATTAGCCTATGGCTATGTGCGAATTTTGTGCTTTACGTACTCACCTCTTCTCGGAATTGGTGGGGTGCAGAAAGCTAGACCCGTTCGATGACCTCTCCCTTACGAAGATCCCGGCGCATTTCAGTGTCGCTTCCGACGTGCGGAGCCCCTTGTAGGTGATCAACGGCCTGTCTCCAGATTCCCTGTCACCGAGAACTGATGATACCTGCGGGGACTGATTGACCCTCATGGCCGTTTGTGCACTGAATGAGGTATAAAGCTCGTTTCCAAGTCTTCCTGGCTCAACAGCGTTTTGCAAGGCATCCCGTTAACATAACAGTCAAGATGAGACTTGGCAGAGGTCATGTTGGTATTTTTCTGTTAATCTGGACATGGATGGTATCTCTTCCATATGCTGTATTGGCCCAGAATGCAACACAATGGCCTCTGCAAAATAACGAGTACACTGACATCGTCCAATGGGATCATTACAGCTTCATCGTCAATGAAAAGCGTCTTTTCGTCTTCTCCGGCGAACTGCACTACTGGAGAATCCCTGTACCTGAGCTCTGGGAAGACATACTCGAGAAGATCAAGGCTTGCGGATTTACTGCAGTTGCATTCTACACGCACTGGGGATATCATAGCCATAGTCCTGACGCGTTGGACTTTGAGACTGGCGGGCGAAATTTCACTCACCTGTTTGAGATCGCCAAGCGCGTCGGACTCTATGTCATTGAGCGTCCTGGTCCTTATGTGAATGCCGAGTCCAACGCTGGCGGCTTCCCAGGCTGGCTCACAACGGGCGAGTATGGAAAGCTACGGAACAGCGATCCGCGATACGGCGATGCATACGCGCCGTTCTGGCAGGAGGTGGCTCGGCTCTCAGCTCCGTATCAGATTACGGAAGGTGGAAACACCATCCTCTATCAGATTGAGAATGAATATCAGAGTCAATGGATTGGGAACCCGGTAGACAGAGTTCCGAATCAGGATGGAATTGCGTACATGGAAGATCTGGAGAAAAGAGCAAGGGACAATGGTATCATCATTCCAACGATACAGAATGCGCCAAACATGAATACCAAGTCATGGTCCAAGGACTGGTCAGATGAGGGAGGCAATGTGGATGTCTATGGACTCGACAGTTATCCTTCGTGCTGGTCTTGCAATCTCGACGAATGTACGTCAACGAATGGACAGTACGTTGCATATTCAGTCGCCAATTACTACGGACACTTCCAGGATGTCTCGCCTACGCAACCTTCTTTCATGCCAGAATTCCAAGGAGGGTCTTATAATCCCTGGGGTAAGTTTTGATTTACAGTCCTACTGTTCCATAGTAGTCAGGAAGACGGTACACATGAGACCAGTATTGTCAGTCTAACCTACCTCGTACAGGTGGCCCCGAAGGCGGCTGTCCCAATGATATCGGCTCAGACTTTGCCAACCTATTCTACCGACAGCTTATTGGCGAGCGTGTCACCGCCGTTTCTCTTTACATGATGTACGGCGGCACAAATTGGGGTGCTCTTGCTGCACCTGTAGTCGCTACTAGCTACGATTACTCTGCCCCTATATCCGAGAATCGTGCGATCTGGGATAAATTCTCTGAGACAAAGACTCTGGCTTTGTTTACCCGCGTCGCTGATGATTTAACGGTGACCGAGAGATTGGGCAATGGAACATTCTACACGACGAATTCCCTGGTGATGGCCACTGAACTGCGGAACAGCGAGACGAATGGAGCATTTTATGTCACTAGACACTCGCCATCTTATCTGGCATCAAGAGATGCATTCAAATTGCATGTCAGCACGTCCGTTGGCAACCTCACTATTCCTCAGGGCAACTCATCTATTGTTATCAACGGACATCAGAGCAAGATCATCGTTACCGACTTTCGCTTCGGAAGCCACTCATTCATCTACTCTACAGCTGAGGTACTCACATACGCCGTCTTTGATAATATTCCTACAATCGCGTTATGGGTTCCGACTGGCGAGTCTGGTGAATTTTACGTCCGCGGTGGTCGACATGGACATATTGCCAGGGCGCAGAACGCAACTGTAGCTTTCCGTCCGGCAAAGCATGGTCTTATAGTCGAATTCACGCAAGGCGAAGGAGCGAGTGTCATTTTCGTCGACGACATGCGTGTTTTGTTACTTGACCGTACTGCCGCATATGGGCTCTGGGCTCCTAGTTTCTCGACTGACCCTGCTAGTCCCGTGGACGAGACAAGTAAGTTTTATCACATTCTCCCCAGACACTGCGTCATCTAACGTGTTGAAAGTTCTTGTCCTCGGCCCCTACCTCGTTCGTGGCGCCTCGTTGACTTCTGATACGACGTTTGACCTCACTGGTGACATCCCTCATACTACGTCGATCGAAGTGTTTGCACCTGCGAAATTGAGGTCTTTGACCTGGAACGGCGTGCAAGCCCGAACTCGTCGCACATCTTACGGAACACTCATAGCTGACATCCAGTTCACACCGCTGTCTCCTGAGCTTCCGGACCTCAGCGGTGCTGTGTGGAGAGTGGCGGACGCACTACCAGAGATCAAGCCAGAGTACGTCGCCGATACACCAGCGTGGCGTGTTGCAGACCAACTCAATCCTCAGACCGGCGAAGCTGTGCTATACGCAGATTTGTATGGCTTCCACTACGGCGCTATGCTCTTCCGTGGTACATTCCTCGGTGGCGCGACAGGCGTGGAGCTTGCAGTGCAAGGCGGGACAGCGTTCGGATGGAGCGCATGGCTGAATGGAGGCTTCGTAGGTAGCTGGACCGGCGACGCAGACAGTGCACAGGGGAATTTGACACTGTCCTTTGTAGACGCAAGCGCTACTGTCTTCGGCGATGGGAAGGAGAACGTGTTGCTCGTGATCATGGACAACACAGGGCATGACCAACGAGACGGAGCACTCAACCCTCGCGGCATCCTCGCCGCAAACCTCCTGTCTGCCTCCAACAATACGACCTCATCCCCTGGATTCACAGAGTGGAAGATCGCCGGCGGAGCATCTCTGAACGGAACCCCCCTCGATCCAGTCCGTGGCATCATGAACGAAAACGGACTTACACCTTCGCGCCTCGGCTGGTCCCTCCCAGGCTTCGACAGCACCGCCTGGCCGCTCTCGACTCCATCCACACTCGTCACATCTCCTGGCGTGCGATTCTATCGCACCACGTTCCCGCTGTCTATTCCGGCCGGCTACGACGCAAGTCTGAGCATCGTGCTCGACAGGCTCACGTCCTCGGCGCTCAGAGCTGAGATCTATGTCAACGGGTACAATTACGGGAAGTATGTGCCTGGCATTGGGGGCGATGGGCGGGGACAGAGCGTCTTTCCGGTGCCGCCGGGGGTGTGGGACTACGATGGGGAGAATGTGCTGGGGTTGAGTGTCTGGGGCATGGAAGATGGGGATGTTGGTGTTGGTGTCAAACTGCAGGTGGATTGGGTTGTGGAAGGGGGTGTGATGGTTAAGGGGGAGGGTCTGAGACCGGGGTGGACGGAGGCGAGAGAGGCGTTTATGTAGGGGATGAGGGATACATGATAATAGATTTTGGGATGGAGTAGCGAGCGTGTACGTACTGCTGGCTAGCATCCATAATTTATTGATATTGGCATGCAGTTTTGTTCGTCTGGGACTGTGGTGATTGATGGCACGTGATGATGATAGTAGTGAGATATATACCATGGGCTTGGCGTGCGTGAATATATGTACTATGCTTCTCTCAAGTAGTTATTGATAGGTCATTGAGACTGTATGAGGAATCTAAAGAAGTGAAATGCCGAGTGATAGATGGATGTTAGGTATAGGGCAGAGATAGATGTGGCTTTGGCAAGTACTGTATGGTTCATATGTATCAGGGTGGTGCCAGCTATAAGAGAGGCATGCTACCACTTGCCGTACTTATTATGAGAGATCCAATCAGTCAATCTGCAGCGCGAAAGGGGTAATTATTGCAAGACAAGTCGAACGAGCACGTCCAAGTTAGAGTCATTCATTCCTAACAGCCCGCGCGATTCGCTGATGGTGATGAGGGCTTTTAGCAGCCAAGGAAAGTCCAAAATCAAGGGACAACAGCACAGGACAGCACAGGACAGCACAGCATGCATGCGTGTATGCATGTATGCGTGTATGCGTGTATGCATGTATGCAGCAGCACAACACAGCACAGCACAGTCAGCTTATCAAGCGCTTGGTATAAACGGATCCATCATTCTAGCGGAGCTGTTTGCCTATTCATGGATCCATCCAAGACTCGCATCCATGCTGAACGCACTAACTGCGTTTGTCAGGGTGCGTTGGTACCTGCAGCAGACTGGCATGCGTGCGTGCCTGGATACTATGCTATCTACGTACGGGCGGCTAGGGAGCTGGTGGGCCAAGCCAAGTAGACTTCCGGATAATTAGTGTTCCAGCAAAGTGTATGTTCGGCGAGCAGAGCAGAGCAGAGCGCTCGTAGCCAAGGCTGAATGCTGAAGAAGTTGAATGGATGGATGGTGATGGGTCCGAGGGTTGAAACATACATGATCCATTAGCGTTTGTTTGTGTGGGTGCTCGATCAGAGCGAGCCCCGGCCGAGATGACTATCCATGGATACAGACAGCCGAGAGAGACATATGAACGACGCCAGCGCTACCAGGCCGTAAATGAGTAAGTGTCAAGCGTCAAGCAAATGCTAGAATCCAGACGCCCACGGAAGAAGCCTCGATGGAAGAAAAAGTGGTGACATCATCGTCGTCGTGAGTGATGGACCCGAGGGAATAAGAGTGGGTGGCGCGATACTAGAGAATCTGGGGCCGAGGAACAAGTAAGTGTATGTTGTTTTTTTAGTTTGTTTTTTTCTCTACGAGAAGCTTATGCTAGCTAGCTGCCCTAATTAGCCAGGCCAGGGACAGATGTCGATCTGGGAGAATCGGACAGATTGGGATGTTTGGTAGGTCTAGGTGTGTGCCGAACGAAGTGTGTTGTTGACGGTTCGGTATGTAAACAAAGGGCTGGACTGCTTGAATATGACGATCGGATACAAAACAGCTTCAATAATAACGTATATACATATTCCTACGAGATGGTAATACGTTGAATAGCGATGTAGTCTCGGCCCATCGAAAAAGTATGGCGGAGAGATCACCAACAGATGGGATCGTGGATCGAGAATTGGGCGGAAATGGCGATGTTCAGTGATGGACGATCGCATTTTCCGGTCTGTTGAGTGATGCGCGTCCTGCTCCACAGTAACGACATAACAACGGGGCTGCTTAGCATCTGTTGCTTTCAGCAAATGACGAGCAACAGAGCGATCTAGATATGCCAACATGCGGTTGCGAGTTCGCAATGATGTTGTTGTTGTTGTGGGAGCGTCGGATATTCAGCTCCTGACATGACAGCCGTGACAGTCGTGACAGCACGGCCGAGACAGCGGCAGGAATTGTGGTTCTGGGACCGGATCATTCTCTTTACCTACAGTATCAGAGTTATGTGGATACAATGAATATGCGGAAGAGGTAGCCGATGTCTGTCTGTGTATGTCTGGCAGCCAGGAAAGAAGGGGGAAGGGGGGCGCCAAAAGAAGGGGGGGAGGGCCGCCGAAGAATAGCTGGGTCCCTCCCCGTCTGGTGCCCTGGCTAGGCTGCCCAACCCCCCTAAAAACACGGCTAAGCCCCCCGCAAAAGCAGCCTGTCGGTCGCGCGTAAGTGGTGGCTAGTCAGGTTCTTCGCTGCTACCGAACTGTCACTGTCGCTGTCACTCCACCTTCAATTCTTTTTTGCCCTTTCGTCGTCTTGGCTTCTCCACATTCTCACCACTCACTCACACACACACAACACGCTCTCATTCGCGGCTATTTTCACTTTGACATATTGCTGTGTGACTGGCGACCTCTGCTGGATTCAGCCAATTGTGCCTTTTTCTTCAATCTAGTTCTACAAGATCCATCTCCGTTTGTACCTCACTCGCAATCTGCCGACGATGCTCGCAACGTACCACAACACACGGCAACTGGCCATCCGCGCTGGCTGTCGATGGATCGTGGCCTAGTCATCATACCAAGACTTTGCCCAGAGCTGCTGTCGCTGCCAATCGCCCATCGCGGCACGGTTGAGGCGCTAACTTGGCTGTCGATAGACGATTGCGGACCGACAGCTGCCTGTCTGCGTCATCGTTGTCCCCGCTTCCGCCCAACGGTCGCATGAGGAAGAAGAAGAAGGGCTGGACATACGAGAGATGATGGATGGACAGATGGATGGATGCTGGCTGTGAAGCTGCTGAGAATGGAAGTGAAGAAGATGGCTGGCACGGCTGAGAGGCGTGCCGTATGCAGTCTTTGTATACTCTCTCACACGCAAGAGGGGTTTTTGTCCTCATGCCTGCAATTGGTGGCCATGGATAAACGCAGCCGGTCAACGACCCAAGTGGTCCGTGGTCCATGCAACAATGGATTGTTGGATGCCATTACGACTCTCCATATACTGCCATGATGTTGACATGGGGGCCCAGAGTGGGAATGGCTGGCGCTCGGGGCTTCCACCAGCCTCCACTCTGAAACGCACCACCCTTCGTCGCTCAAATCTGTCCAATCACCGGCATTCTACCCCGTTTTCTCGTCAGTTCGTGTCAACTGGCCGGTGGAGAGAGCGGCGCACGAACTAATTACCTGGCTGGGCATGAGCACTTTTTATGGCTGTCTGCTGTCGTTGCTGCGTTGATAATGCGAGAGACACTCGGTCCATCACAGTGCGTGCCCTATGATCTTCAGCCATATCTCGACTCCAGAGCTGCCTCAATCGGCATGTCGCCTATGCAGTGACGCATTGCTTGCCTGACAAGACTGCTGTGACTGTTGACTGTGTCCAGCACCAGCACAACCGCTCCATTGTCCCAGCAAAAGACGGCCACGCCCAGCACGGAATATGCAACATGCCGCCTCTCGTTAGTCCGTACGCGTAGCCTGTCTCTAATAGGCGATGAGGCAATCCCGTGCAGCAAACAATCCTAGCTGGCTTCCTCATGAATACGCATGGCAACGATCCACGTCGGATCGCTGATCAGATCCACGCCGCCTCCCAGCCAACTGGAAGTTGAGAGCAGCATTCAATAGCGCCCGCAGTCCAGCTAGACTCATCGAGATGATATCACATTTTGCCAGCTCGGAGCTTATCCCAACTGTTACCTTCCGACGTTGAGGTATGTTGGGCGGAGAGAGAGAGAGAGCGTATGATTATTTGGTGATTTAGGGCATTCTTTGTTTGCAGATCAAGCTGAAGGACCACAGTCAAACTGTGAAGCAATGGGACAAACAACTCGTCCCCAAGCATTCTTCCACTTTCCTGTCAATGTCAGCACTGAGCAACGAGTCGTCCGTATTAGCCATCAAGACGCACAAGCACCATGCTCAAGCCCAGCCATGCCGGGACAAGACACCGATATAGCCTCCTTGTTTTTTTTGGGCCAATCGCACTAGACTCGGCCTGCTCGACGCCAATCACTTCCCAATCACTTCCCAACCTCCCCCTCCCCCCCTCTGCCCCTCTCCCGAACTCGCACCTATTGGGGAATGTCGGCTGCTCTGCTATTGGTCGAGGCGCCGACGTGGGTGAATGGTGTGTATGTACTCTGCGCATGCGAAGTGCTTATGGACTTTCCTCATTGTCCCAATCCGCTTCACTGAAGTAGTACATTAACCAGCCCTGCCTCCCGCCTTCATCTTCTTCTTTTCTCCTCACGCTTCCCAGCTCTACTGCATAATCCCTCAAAAAGCTTTCGGATTTGGCATCTCTTTATCCTCCGAAGAAGACTGATCCCTCGCTCATCAGTCCTCGCCGTCTTTCGCTTCCGCATACGAGCTCTGTCCAAAGCAGATACAGCTTCGGATCACCATCGCTACCTCACTTAATCCTTAGTAATACCTAATATCAACATGAGGTCTTTCGCCGTCGCTGCCTTTGCGGCCGTCGCCGTTGCTCTGCCCCAGGGCGTCACCGAGATCATCGAGCCATCAGGCACTGCCCCCGAGGGCTGTCAGCCAACCTACGCCGGATCATTCAACCTCGGTGTTGTTCAAGTCGCCGGAGATGTCCAGAAGCGTCAACTCGCCGGTACTCTTACCGTGACCCTCGCAGACGGTGTCCTAAAGGACCAGGCTGGTCGCCAGGCCTACATTGCGTCCAACTACCAGTATGTATACGGATGGATATATATTCTGTTGGTCACGTGGCTAACTTATATCCTAGATTCCAGTTTGATGCTCCTCCCCAAGCTGGTGCTCTCAGCACTGCTGGTTACTCCGTCTGTGGCAACCAGTCTCTTGCTCTCGGCGGCACCACTGTCTTCTGGCAGTGCGACTCTGGCAACCTGATCAACCTCTACGACCGCGACTGGGCGCCTCAGTGCGAACCTATCCACCTCCAGGCTCAACGACCTGCCGGTGCGCCTGCCCCCGGCGAGACCGTCATCAACACCATCGTTTCTCAGATTCCCGACGGCCAGCCTCAACCCGCACCCGTCACCCAGATCGGTGACGGTCAACCCCAGGCCCCTACCGGTCCCATCCCCGTCATCACCCAGATCTCCGACGGCCAACCTCAAGCCCCATCCGCCCCAGTCATTACTCAAATCTCAGACGGTCAGCCCCAAGCTCCCGCTGCACCAGCCATCACCCAGATCTCAGACGGCCAGCCTCAAGCCCCACCCGCTCCCGTCATCACCCAGATCTCCGATGGCCAGCCCCAAGCTCCCGTCATCACTCAGATCTCAGACGGCCAGCCCCAGGCACCGTCTGCCCCAGTCATCACCCAGATCTCCGACGGCCAACCCCAGGTTCCGTCCCCTACCCCATCCCAGTTCACCGGCGCTGCGGCCTTTGCCACTCCTATCATGGGTGCGCTCGCAGCTGGTGTCATGGGTGCTGTTGTCATGTTGTAAGTACCCTTTTCACGGGTAGAACTGTGAATGGTGGTGCATAGGCATGCTGGCATGACGAAGGGGAAACGGTACATGGGATCTCTTCTCGAACGGACGAGGGTTATGATGACTTTGTTTAATGACGCGGGTCTGGTTTACTCCTCCTTGACGACGATGATGATGTTGGCGGCGCGTGGCATACCGGTCCCAGTGTGGGTGTGTGTGCGTGTGCACAGGCATGGGTATGGGTTGAGGTATAGCCGACACGTCCGTTCTTTCATGTATACAGTTTATGCATTGCGGCTGTGTGGATGGCGGTAATTGTTAATGATTATATGCCTTTGCATGATGTTTGATTCTTGGGATGTGAGTGTGTCGTGAGAAAACGGTGGGTGACTTGTGTCGTGAGTGAGAGGAGGAGTGTGTGACGTGAGATTGTGCATGTGATATGTCCATGATGTTTCAGGATTCAAGGGGTAGGTTGTGCGCCGTCAAGGTGGGACTTACTTGTGAGTCTAATTGGATGGTGGTGGTATGGGTGTGTATGTATGTATGTATGTATGTATGTATGTATGTATGTATGTATGTATGTATGTATGTATGTATGTATGTATGTATGTATGTATGTATGTATGT